CTTGGGTTCCTTGTACACTTGTGGGTTTGGGGTTTGGGGTTTAGGGTTTAGGGTGTAGGGTGGTAGAGGTTCCCCTCAAAGAGACCTCCACTTTCTTTTTCATTTGATTTTCCGTTAGTGCTAATGGTGTAAGCCCCTACTGTACGTCAACCAGATGAGGTTAGGGGCCGATTGCAGGTGTTCTTGTGACGGTGACTTATATGAGCCATAGTCTCAACTCCTATGAACTCCTTAAAGGGTATGATTTAGGGGGCTATATAGGGGACTAGGTAGGGGGATTCTAGGGACCCTTCAGGGTACATATAGGGCATATATCAGGTGTATAAGGATCCCAGGGTTAAGGGCCCATACTAGGGGCCCATGGTTTCAACCCTAGATAGTTGTATTTTCTCTCTGCTCTACCTCCCACCTGCACCACTTGGACATTGGATCACCGTAGGAGAAGTGTCAGTTTCTCTTCAGCTCATATTGTAGAATCGTTCTGCCTGTCCTGCGATTGAGCATGTTGCACCACGATCCTTGTCAGGTGTTTCGCAGAAAAGGTGGCTACTGGTTTCTAGGTTTGATAGCAATGGGAGAGGGTGTGTTAGTGGCGAGGGGGGCATTCGCGGTGCCGGTGTGGGAGTACGTGTAGGAGTAGAAGAGGTGGTGTTGGTGGTAATGAGGGTAGTATTGGTAACAGTGGTAATCATGGCAACGGTAGTGTCTGGCAGTGGTAGTGGCAGCGGTGGTAGTGGCAGCACTACAACCAGAACTGTCACTGCCACTGCCACGTCACTGACTGACCAATAGCCAACCCAGCGGTTCAAGCAGGAGGGATTCCAGCTGTCATGCTGCCCCTTCCAGGGTCCCTTGACCAACAGCCGCGAGCATCCATCAAGGTCTGCAGTTCAAGAGAAGTTTGGTTTCGTAAGTTTTCCATTGGTTTATCTTCGCTTTTTTGGGGGCGGCCCCCAAGAACCCTAAACTCTGCGCCTACCGAACCCGAGTAAGACGTCTTGAGCCGGAGGTCTTCATGGAGTTCACCAACGGCAGCGCGCCGCCTGAAGGGCAGGTGCTCCAGGCCTACTGGGGCTGGGGAGGCTGATGAGTTCATGATTGGGTTTGGGGTTCAGGGTTCAGGGCTGGATTGTAAGAATTGTTTGGCTATAGTCCCTCTTAAGTAGATAGAATATGAATACGGCTTCGGTGATATTAGATTCACATCCCCATATGAGATACTTCATATTCTATCTACTTAAGGGGGACTATATTATGATTCAGTGACGCTATACCTTCCTTGAGGCCTCAGCCCTGAAAGTCATCTCAAGCAGGGTCCGAGAAGAGTTGGCAACAGCTAGGATGGCTCTTTGGCTTTGCTTCCTGGAGCTCCGTATATACTCCTTTGAACAATTATAATAGGATAAACTTTTTAAAGGGGGTTGCATGGTAGGGTAGCATATATGGGAGTATTTTGTTGGGGGGTGCTATTTGGGCCGGTTCATGGCGTTTCGTCAACCACCAAGATCAACTTGGATCGTTACAGGAGGAGGCCTGACTGGTTTTCACAGAGTCGCCGCAGCTTCTCATGTGTGTGTTTTTGGGTGGTCCTTTGCATGGTGTTAATCAGCTCTATGACACGTTGCCCCAACCTCTCGATCCGAAAGTTCTAAAGCCTCAACTATACCCGTCAAAACCCGGAACATCCGCAAGTACCTCTGCCCTGCGTGCGAGTATACAAATTTAAGCCTTTGATCCACATTAGGCTGAGATCCTACACTCCGCAACCGTAAGCCCTAAACCCTAACAGCCTAGACCCAACTTCCGAAACCAACCTGAAGCCCCATGATGACCCGATCCCTCTTTGTTCCTATACCCCAAAGCGCGCTTCAACCCTGAACTTATTCGTTGTTGGTGGGGAACTCAAAATGGATCCCTACAGCAGCTCCTCAAGAATCCCCACAAAAAGCGTGCACATAACATGCCCCTATGAACCCCCAGTGTCCATTTCATTTTCCTTTGGCTTTTCCGCTCCATCAGTTGGGGTACTAGCCATATTAATAGAAATCCCGCATAGTTCCTGTAAAACCATGCAATCCGCTAAGCCAGATACAGTTTCCATAAATTTCCCAGATAATCCCCAAACCCTAAACCCTAAACCTTAAAAATCACCAGTATATAATAGGCAAAAGCTCAACCCCAATCCGGAAGCTGCTAGCAAGAGGAGTTACGCCTCGAGATGCAAGTGGTCGAGGCCGACCGATGTTCAGCAAAGCTATGTCTGTAGCGTTTTAAGGGTTTCTCAAAGTTTGGGGTACCTTCTTGGGGGTCCCCAGAAGAAGGCTTATAGCATTTTGGCTCTATATTGGGGTTTCCTTATTGAGGAAAATAGTGTTTTAAGTAGTGTAGAGACATTCATGGGAGAGAATTGGATGCTACTACTTCGGGTTCAGGAAGTTCAGGGTAGACGCTTCATGGGCAAGAACCTTGAAACCACTAAGGGCTGGCTGTCTTGAGTAGTGCCTTGGTTGGGGTATGTTAGTTAGGATATTGCAGGCCAAAAACTGCTCATAGGAACATGAGATTTTCCTGGGCCTTGGGGTAATCCAGACAAAATCACATCAAACTTCTGTGGTTCAGCCGTACTCATTCGCGTGGGAAGGAAGATCGGGAAGATGAGGGGGCTAAAACCCTAAACCCCAAACCCTAAACCCTAAACCAGGCACCTTCAGGAGATCATGGGTACAATCAACAGTGATACCTGGACCAACGAGCCCTTCCACCAGACAAATCAGAAAGTATTCACAGAACCATCAAGTCCATGACCTTAGCCTGGACCCAGACCCTACGCCCAAAGCCCTTAGCCCCAAGCCGCAAATTCAAATGCAGTTGCCATCGCGCACGCCTTTGCGGTCCTTGCGCATAACAAATGTGCCTGCTGGCTGCAGCGTCAGAATGGCTTGAGTTTAGAGTCAAGGGCTATGGGATTCTGGTGTTTTTTCAACATTTTACATAGGGCCGCCTATACTCCTGAACTAGTTCGCACCATTACTCTTGGAACCTCGCAGAGGTGCTACTGATCCTTCCGCTGCTGCTGCAAATGCTGCTACTACCATGACTACTACTGCTACTTCTTGTGTGTCTATATTCTACAACGACGCTGTTGCTGCTGCTGCTACTGCTGCTGCTGCTACAGCTATAGCTACAGCTACGGCTATTACTACCACCAGTACCGCTACTGCTGCTACTGCTACTGCTGCTACTACTGCTAGTGCTATTGCTATTATTTTTGCCAACCTTCAGATTGCGGCTTCCCCTACTACCCCCCCTTTACTACATCCCGTTAAGATTTCCTTTAATTAGCCTACACCCCGTTAGGTTTTCCCTTAATTACCCTTAATCCGCCTAAATCATCCTGAAGCAAGCCTGATTGAGGGGAAAACTTGGGGAGTGTATGGCAGACACTTGAAATCCTTCATGGTTATACCCTGGCCGGGAATAATGATAATACCGTATACCAAGGTAAGGCAGGACTATCCCTAAACCCTAAACCCAGATCCTTAACCCGATACCCTGATCCCTAAACTCTAAACCCTAAATCCTAAACCCAGAGCCTAAACCCTATGTGTACCCTGAACAATAAATAGTATCAGGGGTAGTCAGGGAAGCCATGATCCGACCGAGGCCTGGCTCCATTGGCACGGCTATGCTGGAGGCTAACATCCGCGTAGCACCCTCCCGAGGACCCCCATTCTGATAGTGGCTTTGAGTAGGTTAGGGTTTAGGGTGTAGGGTTCAGGGTTTAGGGGGTTTAGGGTTTAGGGTCAGGGGCTTAGGGTCAGGGGTGACTTAGTAAGTAGGTCAATGATGGGGACAACTAGGGCTATGTGGCTTATAGGAGTTATTAACCTACTTGCGAAGTCCGCCTGACCCTCCAAGTGCTGCGGGTAGATCTGGATTTTTCGTGAGCTTTGTTAATACCATGGTCAACTTGGATCCCTGGTAAGAATTAGATTTTGCTTTTCCTGAAGTAGAACCAAATAAGTAAGAGTTGTTTCCAAATATCACCTAAGAATACAGTGGTTCCCTTTTTGGGTTAGGATTTCCTGTTAGGGAAGTGCATTCCCAATTGTCCCTCCTTTGCAGAAGCCTTTAGCACAACCCTCATATCATGCCTACAAAGCCCCACCCGATGGTTTATAGTTTTTGGACCTCCAGACCTACCCCAGATTCCTGAGATTCCTGAGGGCACTATACTGTAGGTATTGTATTTCTCAGGGTCTATTGGAGGTTCAGAAAGGGTGGATGCTGTTCCGCGTACAGTCATACCGCGCGCTCTTGCGATCTCTGCGGTATCTGTCGCAATACCGACCGCTAGAACCTGGAATCACCTAGGCGCTAGCCCTAACCTAAACCCTGCTTGCGCTATGGTTTTTTGGATTCTGGGGTTGAGCGGTTGTTGCATGGTCAAATTGGGGTTCGTTTCAGGTTGTTTTATGGAAAGCTTGGTGTTTGTTCCTGAGTCAACACCGAGGGGCAGCAAATCAATCCGTTTCAAGTTGATACAAAGCAGCCTGCGGGTTCAGAGACTTTGAATCCATCAGCCACGCACCTTCTGTTAGCAACAAAAATGTCAAAAGGGCAGGCTTTCAGGTGTAGGTTTTCGCCCAGAGTTCCTCTGCGCATGACACCGTGAATCCTAGGTCCTAAGTCCTACAGTCAACTACAGTCTGGGTTGCTGTTAAGGAACTTAAATTAGGTTACCATAATATGGGCATATGGTGAAAAATGGGTTTCCTGAGTATCGTAACTGAATTTAGCTTCCTTAACGGCAGCCCCGCAGTAGATTCTTGAACCAGAGTCCCAAACCTGACGCTCCATCGCTTTAGGGTTTAGGGTTTAGCATTTAGGGATAGTCCTAGGCTCAGAGCAGACCTCCGACATCCACAAGAGCCCTGAAGGGGGCCTGGTACTGAGATGTGGATACGAAGTTATATAGGAAGATTCGTATGATTGTATCTTCCTTTTGGGTATGGTGGTCTGAGTTGTTTAGCATGATATTCTTTTATTTGGTTCATCTACCAAAAGCTGTAGTTTTAAGTAGGGCAAAGGTAGGATTCCATTTGCCGCTTGGGAATTCTGAGCCCGCTGACTGCTAACCATGAACCTTCACAGAAGACCAACCGTCACACCCTGCGCCTCTGAACCTGAAGCCCTGAACCCCTCCACCGTCGCCTGGTGCAGGTTAGCAGCTTCCCACGAGCGGAGCTATGTATGGCGCTGATCAAGGACCCAACTCAAGGTGGGAGGTTTTAGACTTCTTTGTCCGGGAGCCTCAGCAATTCGAAGTTGAAGTCTTCAAACTATCCGCGTTTGATGTAAGGTCTTGATTTTGTCCTATTACCCCGTGGAACAAAGTTGAGTATTCAAAGCATACCGGTTTACACACGAAAAGGGGCAGTGTTACCAATGTCAAAGGTTTTGATCCTCAAGCTTTTCAAGCCTGCAGAACTCTGGAGAGTGTCCCTGAGTCCGAAGACCACAGCTAAGCATTCTCGTATTTGTTTCATGGCTATCTAGCGCCTTGAGCGTTTCGTGGGGAATGTAAAGGGTCACGCAAACCAAAATTGAACACCTCAGCGGCACCCTCGTGAGGAGTCTGGAGACAACGATGCTCCCAAACTAAGCTGGGACGACAGCGAGGACCCGCAAATCAGATTTACGGGTTGTGTTAGCGAGTTTGTAGTGGTCGGCAGGGGCAGGTGGCGTGATATGGAGGGGTGTACTAGGATGTGCGTCATATTAAGGGCTGTAGGGTTTAGGGTCTAGGGGTATCGGGTTTAAGGTTTAGGGGTACAGGGTTTAAGGGTTTAGGGATATTGGGTTAACGGATTTTTGGGAGTTTGCGGCTCACGGTTGGGGTTTTGGAGTTCATCGGGTCCTATTTACGTGCTGTTAGTTGGAGGAATGGATCCCCTATAGTAACCTTTATAAAGTCCCCACTGGTGCAAATACAGTAGTTTTCACGTTCTTTTCCATTCCGCCATTCCCTACTAGCGAACGGCAACTTTAAAGTCCCCTAGCAGAGGAGCTGTCCCCCCGGCCCCGGAAACCTCCGCAGGTCACTGTAATTTGAGAGGACTTGGAGGGTCAGGCGCACTTAGTCAGCATACTCAACCCTAATCCTAAACTTTAATCCTAAACTGAAACCCAAACCCTTCCTTAACCCTAAATTAAAACCCTATCCTAACCCTAACCCTAAACCCTAAGCCCTCAGCCCAAAGCCTCATCAGAGGTAGGCTTCCCATTCTGGAGCGGGTGATTGCACGCAGCGTTCCTTAGTTGTTTCAGGTCAGGGCATTTATTCATGCGCAGATTTTTTGCTTCCTTTTATCATACATACCCTAAATCCTAAACCCTACATCCTAAAGATTAAACCCTGAGCCCTAAATCCTAAACCCTAAGCCTCTACAACGGCAAAGTGGATGTCCGGAAGGAATTCTCCATGCTCAGCCCTGGTGATAGCGGTAGTCTTCAGCTCAGCGAATGATTTTCAGGGTTGGGGATTTGGGCTTAGGGTTTAGGGTTTAGGGCTGGAGTTTGGGGGCTCGGTGTTTGGACTAGGACTTCATCTTAATCATTGGGCTTCTGGTCCCAGGGCGTCTATATCGTGTCTTGGTCTTGGTGCTCGACTGTGTCCCTTATATCAGCCGAAAAACCCTTGTGTAATGGAAAGCATCTTTCTTCACAAGAGCACACCTGTAGATCCCACGCCCACCTTAGGGTTTAGGACTTTAGGCCCGGTCAGGTTTATGGTTGACTAAATCGAGATGGCTCCCAAGGATTGCTCAGAAAAAGAGTGAAACATGGATCGTGCGGGATCCAATGTTTGTTAAGGAGTGGGTAACGATGGTCTCTGGGTGTCGGCCTCAGAGTACAAGATACCCAGTGCCGTCCTTCACGTCAAGGCTCCATTTTACTTCAGTAGCGGCACAGAGTACCCTCTCCGCTACTATTGCTATGCACAGTGCATGGGAGAAAGGCCGAGAGGGACAACATCAGAATGCACATGGCACATATACTATCTTGTTCAACAATGCCCCGCCTAGACTTCAGGCCATTTACCTTTCCAACATATTCACGTGTGGGTTCCGCTGGTATCCTGCTCACTGCCTGCCATGCTTTTTGCAAGCCTTCGTTCAACCGTTCTTTTGCGTCTTGAAGCAAGCCCTACATCAGTCTGCTGGCGCACTCCCACGCCGTCAAACAGCCTGTTGCGCCGTGAGAACGCAGAATGGCTATGCAAAGTTATATAGGTTGGGGAAGTGAAAGCTATCCCTATACTAACCCCACATTCCCCTACACATATCTCTCTATTCAGCTCTATATCCATCTATCTATCGATCTATCCACCATAAAACCCCCAAATACCTCATTAATCCGTAAGAGCTTGCGTCATCTTACTGAACCCTCAACCCTGAAACCTTAAAGCCTCAACCCTAAACCCCTTAACCCTGAACCAACTCCCTTAAACCTGAAGCCTTAAACCCTAAACCCTTAACCCTAAAACCCTGAGCGCTTTAACCCTCAACCCTTAATTGCGGGCCATATCAGCTTGTGGAAGAGTACGTACTTTGACGGTCTGGGTGACTTCAGAAGTAGGTTAACCCCTGTAAACCTAGTTATCCGCATGATTGACCTACTTACTAAGGACCCCTGACCCTAAACCCCTGACCTTGAACCCTTTACCTATTCACTGAGACCCCCTGACTTTCTGAATAAGCTCCGAGGTCGCAGCGCGAGCGTCTCGAGTGCTCTGCGTGTGCCTGCATGGCCCCTGGCTGCGGGGTTAAGGGTTTATGGTTTGGGGTCGGGCATTTGGGCGTGTTTAGGGTTAGGTTTTTTAAAGGCTTAGGCTTTCAGGGTTGAGGGATTAAGGATTTTGGGAATTGGGGTGGGGTTTAGGGTTACTTGAACTTGGAAAGACGATTTGCATGTTCACGCAGGGTTGTGAGGGTGAGGCTAAGGGTTTAGGCCTTAGGTCAGGTCAATCCCCCCTAAGGCATTGGTTTCCGATAGTTTAAGTTTGAAGTGTCCTTGCTTGGACTTGGAAAGCACCCAAAGGTTCACTTTTCTCAAGCGTAGCGCTTTCTGAGTTCACCTGCCTTCATCCTGTTTTGAATCCTTTCGCAACCATGGTCCTGACATTCAGAAACAACAGGAAGTAAGAGTCAAGGAGTTGTCAGGTGAGTACCTTCAAGGAGGCTAGCCGGTAGCCTCACACCTAAGCAATGGTCTAAAAAGGCCAACCCTTAATGTAAACTCAAGGCTCTGTCCTTTTAATCTTGATTGCTTAGCTTTAGACCTTAAGTCCACAACCAACAATACTTCAATCTGGGGCTTTCTGACAACCACATGGCATGATGCTCGACATGCCGATCTCACAAGCTACAAAGGTCCAAGAAGCCTGTATTATGGAGACCCAACTACGAAACCCTAGACCCAAAACATCCCAGAACAGTGATGCTCTAAACCCTGAACCCCCAAACCCACATCCCAAAATTCTACAACCGCCCTTTTCAATTTCCCGGCACACTGAAAGGTGTCGCAGCTCCTCTCTGCTTGCGCCGTGGGCGCCCGCCTTACCGGGACAGGCCTTCTCTAAACTCTACACTGACATGGATCCTCATATGGAAGCTTCTCGAACAAGGGGATTAGGGGGATTATGGACAACAGCGCAAGAAGCCCTTCCTGTGAGTTTCCATTGTAGTCAAGGAAGGGCACTGTCCGAGGGCTGCTTCAGAATTTTGTTGCTAGGAGAGAGCTTAGGGTTAAGGGTTTAGGGGAGGAACCGAAATCCAGAACTCTGAGCGTTGAAAGAGCCAGAGCTGAATTTGAGGTTTGAATGATCGCTGGCTTTTGCCTGTGTGATATTTCTTTAGAAGGTTTGTCGATGAGGAGTGCATCCAAACACCTGGTTTACAAGCCTTTACTGTGGTGTTCTCTGCTTAGCAGTGGCCTATGCCGTGGGTGTCCGGGCATCGGCTGAAGATCAAGTTTGAGGGTTCAAAGGTTTACAGCGCATTCATGCAGAGTCTCTCTTTCCAATTCAGCTGATAAGAGTCATAGCTCTTAACCTAGTCATACTTGCTTCGTGTTTGTGCTGCCTGAAAACACGAGAGCCCAGGATCGGGTGGGCGCGCACAGAAGCAAACCCAGTCTGAATCTCTCAGCCGTAATATCAAACGACACCGCCCCGTAAGATCAAATTATTCGGGCCCCGGAAAATGGTATAATATGCAGGACGATGATTTATCGACAGAATCAGATAGGGCAGCCTCTAACTTGACATCTTCAAATCCGATTCAATTACTCGAAAACTAATTAGAGCCTACATGGGAAACAAACGAAATCTAATTCAGCTCGAACTAACATAGGGCCACTTGAAAATTCACGAAAACTTTGTAGGATCAACCGATATCCAATTCAAACCAAGTGGAGATCCGTTTAAATCCGTCTAAAGCCCAATTAAATTAATATTAAAACCAGTTGAGTTTGAAATCTAGTCAGAACCTGCTTAAGATTTTCTTTAGGATCGACGAAACATCGTATTTGAATTTCGCAAAATCTATGTAAAACCAATTAGCATCGAATCAACTGAAGTTAAACCACATTAAATTCATTTCTATATTTCGAATAGAAAACGGTAAGCAACAATGAAAATCAAGGAAAGAAATCAAGTGGACTCTCTAATTCCGATTGATTCCTTTCCATAACCCCCCCCCCAATGACCTCAGAGACCCCCCTAATTCATCAATAGGTGGCCCCTTTTAAAAGTAGTCTTGCCATTTGAAAGGTGCCCTTCAAGATTTTTTTGACTTCTGGATGTATTTTAAATATATTAGTGTGGATTTATTCGAAGGAGGAAGGAATTTTTCCGACATTCTTGTTCCAGGCACCTTCACTTTGAAAGGTATCTCCTCGATTCTTCCTTAAACCCTGGACCGGATTGCTGTGAAGGAACCTAAATTTCAGTTACCATGCTGTGTGTATATAGTAAATCAGAGGGGTTTCCTTCTTATAGTAATTTATCTGAAGTGTTAAGGAACTTAGCGTTAGTTGCCAGAATATTGGTATATAGTAAAATCATAGGGTTTCCTTATTGTTGTAATTTAACTTAAATTTCTTAACAGCAACCCAGGAAGCCCTAAACCCTAAAATCCCCTATATAACCCCAATATAGCGCTCCTTAAAAGCAACCCAGGAAACCCTTAACCGCTAAACCCCTAAACCCCTAAAGACCCTAAACCTCCTTCACTGCAACGCCCGACACGTCCTGAGGCGCAACGTTGGAGTGGGAAGTAGCGAGCTTGGGCTACCACAAGAGCTATAGGGGTTTAGGGGTTTAGGGCTTAAGGGTTTTTGGGTTTTAGGGTTTAGGGGTTTAGGGTTTAGGGTATATTGGGGTTATATAGGGGGTTTTAGGGTTTAGGGTATATTGGGGTTATATAGGGGGTTTCAGGGTTTAGGGTTTAGGGTTTAGGGTTTATTGGGGTTATATAGGGGGTTTCAGGGTTTAGAGTGTATTGGGGTTATATAGCGGGTTTTGGGGTTATGTGGTAATGGAAAAGAAAATGGAAACTACAATTTAGGGTCTTGTGTTTACGGGCCATAACAGCTAGAGTCTAAACTCCTGAAAGGGAGTTATCTAGGGGAATTACATATATTGGGATTAGGGTTTAGGATTTAGGGTTTAGGGTCCGAACTCTTTAAAGGGGATCATATAGGAGATTACATAGGGGAGTATATGGGGGGTATTTAAGGGGGATACTAGGAGTTTAGACCCTAAACCCTAGGTCCTAAATGTCCTCAACCATGAACCCTATATTATCGGGGTTGTTAAGAGGGATTCAAGGAGTTTAGGCTATAGGCTCCTAAAAACTGAGCCCTGTGGTTCTCATTGTTGGGGCTTTTGGTTTAGGGCTTAGGGTGGGGCTCAGGGTTTTTGAGTTTAACTTTGCGATGGTTAGTAGGGAAACAGGGAATATTATCCCCGTATAATATATTACCTTATTCCTTACTAACCCCCAAGAAGTTAAGGGGGTTTAGAGTGCAGGGTTTTGGTTTTAAGGTCCCGTTCATGGTTTTGGGATCTCAGCTGTTTGACTCGAGGCTATTTAGAGTTTAGGGTTTTAGGGTTTGAGGCTTAAGGTTTGTGTAGGGTTTAGATTTTTTTCGGTGCAGTGAGAATGGTAGCCTTGCAGTAATCGCGCTTGCAGAACAGGGTCGGGGGCACGGAAAACGCGATCTAGCTCTCGGAGCAGCAAAAGGACACAGTGAAGGGCGCAGCAGTATTACACTTTATCAGAAGTAGGAGAGCAACAGTCGTGCTATCAATAGCCATGCCAATCTAGGTGCTGAAGCGGTAAGGCGCCAGCACTCGAAACCATGAACCCAAACTTGTGTATGGTAGCTTCAATTTCCATTTCCGCTCCGTTACTCCTTGCTAACACACCAAAAATCCTGCAAGATTATTTATGATAGTTTGTCAAAATTGTGGTAGGTTTTTCAATATGGGTTTCCAATATAATGAAGCCACTACAATATGAGCTATAGTCTAATTTCTTTTAAAGGAGCATGATATAGGGCTATATATAGGGGAGTATGATAGGGGGTTATTAAGGGGGTAGTTTAGACCTTAGCTCATATCTCCCTATAAACACAAGTTTCCATTTCATTCTCCGTTTTCTTTTCCATCTGATTCTCCATTATAGGGGGATAATATAGCCCCCAAACCCTAAACCCATATAAAGGATTTAAGGGTATCCAGAAGAGGGCCATGATTTTGAGAACTCTTCCTTGAGCCAAGCCAAGTCCTCTGTACCCTGGACTTTATGCCCTTAGCTCCAGAAACCTTGACCGTTCACCGCTAAGAAGCACCTTGGAAGCAAAACCCTAAATGAATTGAACATGAGATGGCGTTATGCACACATGATTTTATATATCCAGCTTATGGTAGCCTACCCTAGCCTGCTTCAGAACAACCCTGATTATGTATCCAAGTCCTAGGAACCCTCATCCCCAACCTTAAGCCCTGACCCTCATCCCTAACCCTAAACCCTAGACCCTCATCTCCAATTCCTAAACGCTGTTCCCACTTCTTAGGCTGACGGCGCGAGGACCATCGTGGTCTCCGGCCGGCTTCTGCGCGCGGGGAAGGCCGTGGAGGCAGGGAGCCTCCCAGGGTTGCCGGAGTTGTCCCTAGTCGCTAAATCCTAAACCCTAAACCCTGAACCCGAAATCCTAAAGGTTTGGGGGTTAAGGCTCTGGGTTTCAGGGTCTAGGACTGAGGATGAATGGTTTACGGGCTTGGGGTTTAGGGCTATTAGTCTACTACCATAATATTATATTACTGGGAGGTAGCGCGTGCTTTTGCCTGAGCGAGATTTATGTTGAATCTGCCGAGCTTTGCTGGGGATTGATCCCCAATCTATGTTACCCATATAGCGCCTGTATGCCCTCTTCAGGGTAAGATAGTCTCCATGTAACATAGCCATACATAGCCCAACCCCTTCCCAAACAACTAGTCCCTGCTGTAGCTGCTGAGTGATACACCCCACCAAGCCCACAAAAGTAACAAGTACCTGCATGCTCCTGTATAAAGAGCAAAACGGTGCACCCGAAGGACGCCACGCTAAACCAAACCCTGAACCTTAAGGTGTGGAAAGCCATGAGCCAAATTCTGTAATGATAACCACCAAGCGCTGAACTTGAAGCCTTCAAGCTTGGATTTGCAGTTTGAGTTCCCGGACACGAAGGCTAAAAGCCTTAAGTATGACGTCTTGAATTGAACATTGAGGCTGAGGTATGCCAGGGTATTCAGCGCAGAAAGCCCTGCAAACATGACGTCGCTTTTGCAGTCACATTCCTGCCAACTGTCCGGAAAAAAAAACTCGCGGTGGAAGTATTGCCGTGACATGAAGGGACTACTGTACCGGTCGCATGTTGATAAAGGGATGTTGGTTCCCAAACATCCATATGATGAATGACTGTTATCGGGCCCTTACCATAGGGGGTTGGAGGTTACGAAAATCCTCTCACTATATAAGGGTATCTGCCAAAGCTAGGGTCCCCATATGCCAAGTAAGTAGTGGAGTCCCTGACTTTCCGTTGCCTTCCCAACATGGAACCACAAATCTGATATACACCCATGAGGCGGTAGGCCGTAGTCCTATACTGTAAGCCATGAACTGTGAAATCTAAGCCTGAAGTCTCAGCCTTACTCCATGAACCTTCCACCTAACAGTCTGGATACAACGTATATAGACCTTCTCCCATCCTTGCGCTATCGCGATGGGATTCGTATCCGATCCTGATGCGCCCAGAACTATCCGTATGCAATCCCAAGGTTTAGGGTTCAGGGTTGAGTCCCTGCTTACTGTACATCGCAACCGAGGCTCTGAGAGTCTTTTTGAAACTTACAGGGGGAGTGAATATAGGAGCGTTTATAGGGGCATATCTTGGGATGATGTAGGAAAGCATGTCATGCGTCATTTCAGTCGAATGTCAGGAACCTGCATACAGCGAGCTGACATTTTGATTCTGAGAACCGCAAAGGTGCAAACTGCATGCA